GCACCATGTCTCAGGACTTCCACGAAGGAGACCATCTCGAAACGGTCTCGTGCCACACATACACATACACACATACACAACCTCATCACATCTTGGACATCACATCATCATCATCATCGACCACATCATGCTTGGCCATAGGAAGCCTTCGTTGTTGATTGAATACTCGGTAGTGATTTTCTCAAAATGTTCCACTTCATTGCTTCCCAGCTCGTTTGATTAAAGGCAGGTATGAAGCTACTAGACGTGCTCACACCATAGGACGGATCCGACCCATGCTTTGCACTATTTCAGGTCCTAAAGAAGGCGAAGCAGCCGAAACGTTGGCCGTATAAAGTATTCAATCTTGAGAGGCTTGAACAGACTTATCTTTACTGACCCATACTAGCCCCACTACATTTTCATTGCTCCAACAGAGGCAAATCTGTGCAACACTTACTTATTCGGGAGGATAATCATACCTTGAGGTACTTTGAGGATGAAGCTGTTACTTAACATAAATACAAGCGAGTTCAACTCAACGAAGTGCCTATGAGCTTAATCAATTATTCATTGACAACGATGCAATAATCAGCATCAGGGGAATGTAGGAAGGAGTTTGCTGAATTACAAAGAAGACTCAGAGCACATCAGCTGTAGGTATACAGCTGATGGGCTCTGAGGCTGTTAATATCAAAGACAACGAGCATACACCACTTATTGGAACCGGATAATCGCTCACTGGCCGCAGAGCTGAATCCCTAATGGGAATGTATCCTAAGCCGAAGGAATGAGCAGCGGAATATGTAATTAACAGATCCCTTTATACCTACATAACTGTGGATCGTCAAATTTCTGCGGAACACTGAATGGACCTAAAACTCCCATTACTTACTCCATAAGAAGTGGTTTGGGAACGGCTGAGCCAAAAGGGAATCGAACCGAATATCGTCAGGGAATCGAACCTAAGCTGCCTCTCTCTAAATGGTCTGGTTGCCGGATCTATTGGGCATAGTCGAATGGCCCAATAGGGCAGCGACTGACCCCCCAACCTTCGCATTTAGACTAATCAAGGAGATTCTGCCTGAATCCAACAAAAATGAAAAGAAAAAGGGAGAAACGACACTTGGGGAGTGGGTAGCACACCTCAACAACTGGTAAACTTTACATATTTTCCCTCGTTATCCTTCCCAGTCAATACAAAACTTGTAGGCGCTTGAGACTACCCTCGTTTTGTTGAAGCCGTTCCCATGACAACGGTGATCCATTTGTGGCGGCCGCTATTTTCGACCATTGCAGCTTTTCCCACTTGAAATGTCATCAGAATCTTTGAAGTTCATTGTGGAAAACTTAAATTCGCCACCGTTCGATTGTAATACGTCTCTGATCGCCTTCGACACCTGGCCACCAAATGTACTGCTACAACAGCTCAGCGATGTCATCAGGTAAGTACCTGCCTCAAATACTTACTCAGTTCTGCACTATCTATTGTGTAGCCTCAACTGATGGGTGTTAGCTAATCGATAAATTGAATGATTGATTTAGTTGGATCACTCAAACAGCTAATATTGATATATCGAAAGAAACTCCAGACGAAACTGCTCTTCGTATTCTTTACAACTTGAAAATTCTTCGATTCAAACCCCCTTCCGATATAGAACAGCTGTGAGTAGCTTGAAGTTCGACCCTGAGGAATGACCTGAATAGTAAGAAAGGAATTCCAGGGACGAGTGGAGAGCAGGACTGGTGGAAGGAGCGAAAAAGTCCGTCTATCCCGTTCTTCTCTATCTATTCTCCAATGTAGATATGCTTAAACAAAGAGCATACCTAGCCAAATATCTCATACAGGTTCTCTACTACTACTATTACTTCTCTATATACTAATCCTGATTAAATGACGAATTCAGGACGAGATTCCCAGCAGTTTGATGGACAATGAAGTGGCTCAATTGCGAAACGAACTAGCTCAGTACATGGAGAGGTTCAAAGTACGACGGCCTGATTATTGGGAGCAGCTTTATTATATTTATTTTTTTATAGAATCATGCTCAATATTATCTATTTACTCATTTATTTATGTATTTACGCTTTCACTATGTTACACCTCCACGGGCAAAATTATCATTTGGTTAATTACCCAACAGTGGGTGGGTGGTAGCCGAATGACAGTAGACTCCTTCGAATTTAATTCGTACGATTTACATCGTTCTTTAACTTTTAAAATCGGAATTTTGTTCTGAAACTGCTCAACGACGTTCGTTCCCAACTTCATAGTTCCGAAGAGGCTCTCTGCAACGAAGCTAGCTTAGTCAGCAAAGGACTAACCCGTCAAAGGGCACTGTTACATTTCATTCCTCAATGATTTTTCGAGCTCGAGCTTCATATATTCAGATAAAGGCACAGTTCACGATAAAAATTGTTTCTGAGGTTCCCCCTATAGGGTGAATTTGAGGTCCCCTCGTATACCATATCTGGCGCTATTAGGTCGGAAAACGGCTTAGTAAGTGAGCTATACAGGCTCAAAGATCGGAGCATGTGCATCCTCAGACGAGTTTCGCCGGCGTTGTAGAGGCTGCACCGATCTCAAGGGTGCTCATGTAGGAATTTCAAACAACTTTTCATGACCCATAACGACAGTGAAAGACAGTTTTGTACAGTTATGGTTTGATGTAATCAATTCTTTGTGCAATTGCAACAACTGAAATCTCGTCCGAATACCACTTCCATGTTGTTTCCGTCATGGTAATCTCGTCCAACCTCTGTTATCCCTGCTTTGAAGAAGTCATANGGAGATTCTGCCTGAATCCAACAAAAATGAAAAGAAAACGGAAAAACGACACTTGAGGAGTGGGTAGCACACCTCAACAACTGGTAAACTTTACATATTTTCTCTCGTAATCCTTCCCAGTCAAAACAAAAGTTGTATGCGCTCGGGACTACCCTCGTTTTGTTGAAGCCGTTCCCATGACAACNAAGAGCAGAGATTCGAGCCCACAGTTGTGAGGGTCCTACGTAGTTACGTACCTTTTAGGAATGTTGCCAAAGAGAATCCTTTGAGTCACAGTCTCCTGCTTTCTGGACAAAAGCCATAATTTACTAGTTCAAAAGGTGGGAAAATGTTGTCGATCTCTTCAGCGACACTATTCTATGGAACTTAGGATTTTTGAGGACGAATTTTAATAAAAGTTTCTCTTCTTAGACATCTTTGTATTCTCGTTGCAGCCACGATGTCACGCTGCCTACACCGCCACTATTATGAAAGTCAATTTTAAAAAATAAGAAAATAATAAAACGATGGGAAAATGACGATTTTCATAGTAAATATGGCCACGTCTAACTTCATTTGCTTCGATATAAAATTACTTTTTAAAGGAGGTGCATGCAAATGTTCTTGACGTCCAGCAAGACACTATGTTGATCGAAGACATAAAAGCTGATCTCAAATCAATGGAATCGGAAAAGGAGGGTTTGACGAGGAAAATCGAAAGAACTTTCAAGAAAATACAGAATCTACCTTCGCTAGAGAGGTAGGCCAATCGGATTTTAAAAAATTCTTTGGCTGAATGAATCCCATCCTTCCCAAAGTCCTATTTATTTCCCTCGATGGATTCTGTGCTGTGGACTAGTTCCGCCTTCAACCCGGTCGATTGTACGGTCGAACTTCAAGGTATAGAGAACACTGGATCTAGCTGTCTGTCCCCTCTATTCTCACTTTCCTCCCCTCCGAAAAACCAAAAATGAGTTGTGGCTTCGCTTTATGTCAACATTGGATTCGGTGTTAGCATTACTGTATTTTACTATTTAGGCAAATGGCTGCAGCTGATCAGCTCAGCCTGCATAAGGAACGTCTTGAACAAATGGACATTCAGCGCTCTGAACAGCGTGATGGGGTGCGGTTCTTGTTCCAGTAACCAGTAACCCAAAAGAATGCCATCTCATTCCAGGTAATCCATGCCGAAAAGCGGGTTCAACGTCTCAAAGATCAGCTCAAGGAATTACGGGAAGCAGCCGAAGATATCGATCCGTCAGGTCTTATCGATCAATTGAAGGTACAGTAATGAAGTCTAAACCTCTGGACGCCCTATTAAGTAATAGACTCTTCGCCCCGAGCGGCACTTCTGCGGGATGCGCCATGCATTTGACTTCCATGCAAAAATAACCAATAAAATAGTGTTTAATTAATTATGCAATTGAACTATCAACCTGAGATTGTACCGGCGCTTCTAGACTCTAAGATAAATGATTTACGATAGTGATTCCAAGATTCGGGAGTATGAAAGTCGGACGGCTAGGTCTGTTTTCGTGGGAGGGGTAGCGGCGCCTCGTGCCCGTATACAACCCCCTTTTCGAAATTGAACAGCTTGTGGCCACTGTCACAAACCTCTCGATCGTTTTCAGGACGAAATTGCGACGAATTCATATCTATACGAAACCAAACTCGCGAAAGAAATCGAACAGAAACGTCAAGTGGTCAGCGAACTCGTGAATGCCACCAATATAACGGCCACTAGTGATTTCGATATTAATGCCCTACAAGCAGAGGTTTGTCCCATTTTGTTCTTCGTTGGATTTGACAGGGGTTCGACAAATCAGCCTGACCGTCTTCGTTTTGAGCAACCGTTCAGTCAAACTTTTCCTACTTCAGTCGTTGAAATTGCAGCACGGATCGTTTCCCGACCGCAAAGCTTTAGGACTATCGGAGGAATATGAGTTGTGTTTCAGGAAGAGCAGCTTGAAATCAGTGTCAGTCCTACCTCGCTTTGTGCTGGTCAAGGCGATGTTCTGCAGTCACACAGAAATCGAGATTTTCATAGGACAATGATGTATACCTTTGAAAATATTCCTCGAGTTGGCAATCACGTTTAAGAATGCGCCCCGCCTTCGACTTCCATCCAGAATCGTACTGGCGATTCGAATTGGTCTGTACAATGACTTGAGCTGGGGCCAACCTATGTACGAGGCAGTGCTTTTACCCTCCCAGACAAGTCCTTTTTCAAATGAAGGACTTCAGAGCGATGGAAAGCTTGGTTGGCCTGAGTATCAATCCAGGATTCGATCCTTTAGCCATGAGAGCGCACCATTCAACATTACATTACGTCCATCCTCTTATAGGGACATTAAATGGGTGTAGACTGGAAACGTTCGTCGAAAAACGCCCAGGGAAGAGAATGAGGAGCAGCTATTGCTAGGGGATGTAACGAAAATCTTTCCCTTCTCAGAAACGAACCCCCACAGCCACGGGATTTGCTGGACCATAAATAGGGCTAGATTTAACGGATGAAAATCCTATGAATCGAAGGCAACAACAACTAATTATGAATAGCATTGCCCAATGGGGTTCGCTGCCAACGATGTTCCTCCCATAGCCACCTAAACCATGAGGGCTCTATTACTAGTACTGTACCGCTAGATATCAGAAATCGCCAATCCAACAATCGTGTGCGTCAGTGAATATTTCATTACAGGTAGACGAAAAAACAAATAGTATCATGGCTTTGGAACAGGAAAGGGATAAAGGTGAAGAGCAAGTCAATGAGAACTTCAGGTTCGTATTAGTATAGTATTAAAACTTTTCAATAAAACAACCTTAGAAAGCGGTTTTCATTGTTTAGCGGAAAAAATGTGTATCATCAAGGATTTTGGTGTTTATGGAGTAATATTATATGCTTTCCCAGAAGCAGCGTCTCTAGTTACCTGTCTCGCCCCCGCGCCATATTTTGGTTAGTTGACCTTCCGGGAGACGCGCAGTAGGAACGGTTTTGTGTGCGCCGCACGCGGCTGTCGCGGACCATTTGCCTCGTTATAACAGTTGTACCGTTCTTCGTACAGCCCAATCGTTATGCGATAATTACTTTTTTCATAATTCTACTGTTACTTCTTTTGTTCCTGTATTCTTAATTCCTGCTGCATTCTGCTACATTTATTCGCGCGCGTCGACGCGACAATTTCTTTCCTACTGAACCACACCCTGGACTCCCACTTCCGTGAAATTCGTGCTCTGATCAAATGGTGTTTTCCACCACCGCCATACAATTCTTTATATTCGATACTTGATTCTTTATATGAGATGGTGCGCAAAATCAAATAGAGTCGCTACCTAAAAAAAGAGAAAGTCATAAAAAATATTCTCACCTGATTTCCGGCTTTCCTGAACTCTCGCCTCAACTGTCTGCGAAGGAGGCTTTTCCCGAAAATCGTCGAGCGAGTAGAAAACAGACCTGAAATCTGGCCCACGCTATCTTAAAGTATGAGAAAAAGACAAGTAAGGCATAACGAACCGGGGGCTCCATCCGGGGATCAAAAAAAAAATACGAGCCATTTCTCCGATCTCGTCTCGTTATAGGTCCCCATATCGAGCCTGGTTGAGCCTCCATCACAGCATTCCCCTTTCGAATTCTGTTTGCCTTAGAACACGTCCACCTTTCTTCTCAGATCCACAACAAGAGACGAAAGCATAGGAAATCACCTAAGATAATTCTTGTACTCATAACATTCACAGGAACAGATCACGATAAAAATGGTTGAAAAAATGTTCCCCTGGGATAAATTTGTGGCCTCCTCGTACATCATATATGGTGCTAAGAGGTAGGAAAACGGCCTCGATTGTACGGAACAAACGCTCAAATTCCGTCCGCTTGCCATTGTAGAGGGTCCGTCACCCCCAAGGGAACCCATGCAGTAAGTGCGACCAACTTTTCGTGACCCATAGCGACAGTGAAAGGCATTCTGGACAGTTTTTAGTGATGTAATCGGCTCTTTGCGCAATTGCAACAACTGAAATCTCGTCCGAAGCCCCTTCCATGTCATTTCCGTCAAGGTAGCCTCGTCCAAACACCAACCATTTTACCACTTTTGAGAAATCTTATTTTTCACGGAATCAGCGAATTTTCTTCCTTCACTACCGTTGTACTACTCTCAATCAATACTTCCGCTTTTCGACTGTAAAGAGTACCCCAAAGTCATCGTGAACTGCGTCTTCAAGAACACTTATTCAATAATCAGAGCCCGTGGTAATTTGGAGGTCCACAGCTGAACAATCCATTTGTGTAGAGAATGGAACTGGATGTGATCAAACTCAAAGCGATTCTTTAGCATTTTCCGTCATCAAGCAGCAAATGTTGAACGACGAAAGAACGCACTTGCTCAGAAACTTCAAGATGCCAGGTGAGGCCTTTTAGTGATAACTGAGCTAAAGTACAGGCCAAAATACCTTTATAGAGTTTCACCTCACGCCACACTGCTTAGTACTAAGCTCTCTGGGTATAAATGGCTTGAACTTAAATTTTAGCGATGGTGTTGTGCTTCATTGAGGTTCGATACCTGGAGCAGCGCCAGTTACGCGTAATGAACCTTTTCAGCTGATGACCAACATCAGAACCGACTTTTTATCGAGTGAGCAACTCAATAGAGGATCCATATCGTGGAACACTTTCCCTTTTCCAAGTTATTCTGGCTTAGCGAATAGCCGGCATAAGCAGATTTCTGATGTGCGTTTAACACTCAAACCGACGAAACCGGTGAAATTTTACTGGGATAGTTACGGCCAGCGCACGGTTGGAAGCTTTTCGGGATTTACGGTGAAGCTTTGGTTGACAAAGAGGGCTCAGGGAGTGAAAGGTTAATCAGCTAAGCCTAACCACCCCCACTTAC